TCCAGGTGGCTCCAGCACACCCCTGTCTGTTTCACTCCTGAGCCATCTGTTGATGGAAGAAAAAGTCACAAAATCTGGTGAGAGGGTTCCCCTGCAAAAACATACTATCTAACCTCACCTGGGTCCTGACTACTTCCTGATTGCCTATCACATTCAACATAGCATTTACTCCCAACTGTCTCTTTGGCTGCTTTATTTTAACCTCACTATATTCTTTTTGAGGCAATAGTCTCATTCCTTACTTTACTGAAAAGTTTAAGACCATCTGATGGGAACATCTTCATTTTACTTCTTCCAGACCTTAAAATATCTCTCCATCTCCATCCATTTTCTTCCCTTTCCCTCCAGTCTAGGGAGGAAGTGCTTCTCCTCAACAAGGCTAACTCCTCTATTTGCACTCTTGATCCAGGAATTCTTTCCTTTCTTTGTGTGTTTGCATTCCTAGCACCTCTCACTTAACACATGCTTATCCTTTGATTGACTTTCTTTATTTTTTAAATTTAAAAATATTTCCCTCCTATCTTTATCAAGATACAGTTCCATCAGTCATCTCCTCTCTTTTCCCTTTAGCCTCTGCCTTTATACTTGCTCCTTTTTTGACTACTAAGTCTTTTCTTTTCTTAAAAAATAAAAAGGCCTACCTTGTATCCGTTTATTCCTTCAAGCTATCATTCTATCTCTGGGAAGAATGATCTCTACTCAATGTTTCCATTTCTTAATTATTACCCTCTCACTTCTCAGCCTACCAGACAGATATTGTTGTTCATCCTTCATTCTTGAAGAGGACCAATGACATCAGGAGGGTGATGTCTTGACTTGCAAATGAATTGGATTTAAGTGAGGCAGAGCTGTGCCTCATTCTCTCCTCCAGAGTCATCCGATGTAGTGGGAAGACATAGGTCAAAGTGAATGGCAATGGCCAAAGATGCCCAATAGGTGATGTAATAGAGTGCTGGGCTTGCAGTCTGGAAGATCTGAGTTCAAATCCTTCATCAGACACTTAGCAGCTATGGTACTGGACAAGTAACTTTATGGCTTAGTTTCTTAATCTGTAAAATGGGGTCACTAATATTTGCACATGGCTGTTGTGATGAAAACCTTGTTATTGTGACGTAGTGTATAATTGAGAGCCATCATTGTCAATGTTGTTCTGATGGGATACGGGCTGCCCCTTCCCCTAAAAGAATTTGGATCCCATTTGTTTGAGGGGGGAATAACAGGGTATAGGCTTTGGAAACCCTCTCCTTGAATTCTCCTACTTGAGATCTAGGAAGCCTCCAGCATTTGCCCAGAGACTATAATCCACTCAACTGGCCTTTCCTTGTGCCTAAACCCAATCTCCCCATTCTCTGTTACCCTTAACCTAGCCCAGCCCTCCATTGTCTGTTACCTTGGGATGGCCCCCAGCTACTTCCCACCCTTGATCCAATCTAGACCCCTCCTCCAGTGACCCCAGCCTATTGGTACCACCATCAAGATCCTCCCTAGGCCCCTCCTTACAGTCACCCAAAATTACTTAGTCACTCCTAGAACCTTCCCACAGTCTTTCTGTATATAAGGTCCATCTTGTCTCCATTAAGGAGTTCAGATTCTTAAACTCTAGCCAATGGCTGAGATTACCCTCCTTGTCAATATGAGTGTCACAAATGTTTAGATTGCTTAGGAGTCTGGCCAATATGGTGGATCTGTAATAAATCTTGTCTTTGACTGAAAGAAGACTTGGGTCGAATTCATTTGGGCAGGACCCATATATCACTATTTTGGGGTCCCGGAACCCCTAAACCTCTAAAACCTCAACAGTTCCATGACACCACATTCTCCTGGTTTTTTCTTTTGGCTTCTTCACCAGCCCTTTTCCTTCCCACCCCATTATGTATACATACCTGGAAACAATCTCTCTGTTAATCTTCTCTCTGTATGTCATTTTCCTTAGTGATCTCATCCATTTCCATGGCATCAATTATGACATTTTTGGGAAACCTGTATTCCTAGTTTCAAATCCTCACTCACCTCCTTGAACTACAATCCCATATTTTTTATTGCCTGTTTGATTTTACTTGATGTCCCAACCATACCTAAAACTCAACATTTTCTCAACTGAATTTATTATATTCTTTACAGTACCTGTTCAGCCTTCTCTTTATTATTTCTGTCAATGGCATCACTATTTTCCCCAGTCACCTTAATAATTTTGGATTCTTCTCTTTCCTTCCAATATCTAATCAGTTGCCAAGTTCTGTTGCTTTTGCCTCTGGTATAGAGTGCTGGGCTTAGGGTCAGAAAGACTTGGGTTTGAATCCTATTTCAAACTGTCTGTGTCACCATGAACAGGTAACTTGACCACTTTCAATTGGTTTGCTAATCTATAAAACAAGGATAATATTAGCTGAGAAAATATATGTAAAATACTCAACAATCTTAAAACACTATGTAAATATCAGCCTCCAATGTCCCTTGTATCTAGCCCCTGCTTCCAACTCATTGTCACCACCCTAGTACAGCTTATTTCTCACTTCTCCGATCCATCCTTAACACTATTGAGTAATCTTCCCAATACCCAGGTTGGAGGTCACTATTCTGAAACCTTTAGTACAAACTCTTCAGTCTGGCATGCGAAAGTTTCACACTCTGGCTTCAATCTACTTTTCCATTCCTTTAAAAACCCAATTCTAACACTTATACTCTACCTTCTTGCGTAACTGGATTACTACCTATTTCCTGAGGTCCTTTTGTCTTCCTCTGTATACATTTCTTACCTAGTATGGATTGCCTCACCTCCTTTGAAACTCTTGAAATTGTGTTAGTTCTCACCTCAGCTCCTTCCTGATGCCCCACCTAGAAGTGAATTCCCCTTCCTTGAATCTCTCATTTTTTCACTTCTGATCTTCTCTATATACTTACTACATTTTGACAGTGGTTACAGTTACTTGTATAACTGCATTGTCTCCCCAATAGACTATAAACTCCATGAATGAAAGTTTAGTGTCTTTGTATCCCTAGACTTTATATCCCTAGAACCTTGCTGTGTTTTCCATATGGTAATTCTTAATAAATATTTCCTGAACTGAATTGGAAGGGTGGAAGAGAAATGAATCAGCATTTATATAATGTATAAAGTATGACAGGTACTGTGCTTTACAAATATCTCATTTGAACCTCCAACAACCCTGTGGTTATCTTCACTTTACAATTAAGGAAACTGAAGTTTAAAGTTAAATGACTTGCCCAGTGTCACACAGCTAGTACATATTTGAAGCTTGATTTGAACTTCGGTCTTCTGACTCCAAACTCAGCACTCTACCCACTGTGCCAATTTGGGCTACAAATTGAATTGAGTCTTATAACCATGAATGTATTCACTTAAATGCCTCTTGGATCTTACTGATGGGCATGTACCCTCCAACAATGCAATAGCAACTCTTTCTTGCCTGTTGTGACTTTAAGTCCATATCTTCCCATTGTGACTTAAGTCCATATCTTCCCATAAAGTTCACCACATAAAGTCCTTCCAGTGTATGCAGGACCTTCCTACCTTTCTCTCAATGCAAGAAGATAGCTGTTTAGGGATGACCTTGTGCTGATTGTAGAACCAGTATAACCTCCTAGAATGAAATACTTGACCACTGGAGAGTTTGGCATAGTGATCCACAGAGGAAGAACTGGACAGAGAATACCTATTGTTCAGGCTGTGGAAGGCTGAACAACCTATAGAGCTGAACCATCAGTTTTTATACCTTGACAGAAACTGTAAATGACCAGTGAATTGGGTCCAGAATTAAACAATAGGAAGAGAGCTAGCTGGTTTGCCTGTACTAAATTAGAGAGTTTCTTTGATGACTCACATCTCCCTGAAATGATGAGTTTTTTTTTACATACCAGTATTCTCCTGGTGGTGGATATGGACTTGGGAACCACTGAACAACTTAGTATCTAAAGAACTAAAATGGAATATTGCAAGAAAGGCCATTAGAAGGGAATGAGGAGCAAGGGCAATATATTCCATGTAGAAGATATCGATTAATATGTGGTTTTATTTATTTTCACAAGGAAATTAAAATACCAGGTGAGTTAAATGCTTCCCTTTAAAACCCCTTTCCATTGAATAATCAAAGGTAAAGTAAAAGTCTAGACCACCCACTTTGAAGGTTTTGTTGCTGAGAGGGTTCTATTTACATTTTAAGATTGCTCTGTTATCTCAGAAACCCAGCAGTAGTAGCTGCCTCCAAAGCCCACCCTTTTTTCACTCTCCCTGAGTGAAGTTAGTTCTGAAAGCACTTACTTTATCCATTTTACCCAGGACTCCTCTCTTCTGTATATGTTCGAGAGTATAGTGTGCATGTAGAGAGGTGAATGATCTTGCGGGAAGAGGACAGGGCTTAATTAAGCCTGATTCCTTGGGCTCTAAATATGATTTTGTGAAGATGCATCTGTGTTCTCCCAACGTGAAATGTAATCTCTCACATAGCTCACAGTACCATCAGGGAGAGGATGTAGTGGAGCGTGGTATTTTATAAACCAAATTGATTGTATCGCTGCTGAATGAATTATGAGCCAGTTTGGGAACGTGTTCAGGTCACCTTAATGACGGGACTACAGCTGGTTGGCCAGCAGGCTGAGGGAGCCATTTCTGTAAAGGGATGCAACAGGATTTGGGGGGAGGGGAGGAAGAAGAGGGGAAAGCAGTGGAAGGAGAAAGAAAAAAAAAAAGGAAAGCCATTTATTTCAGCTAGCTTTGTCTTGGATCTGGGCAGGGTCCAGAGCTGGTGATTTCAAACATCAGGCAAAAGCACAACATGCTTCCTTACCCTAATTAGAAGGGGGGGAAAGGGTGAGTCATGTTACACTAGCTAGTATCTTCCTTCCCTCTCTATAACGGCTAAATTGTAGCTTTAAAAGGAAGTGACATGGGGTGGGGAGAGACGTCAGCTGAGGACCACTTTTTTTTTTCCTAAGGGTCCACCCCATGGGTGGAGTCTAGCTTTCTTCCCAGTGTTGGCTGACTTAGAGCTCATGTAAACTAGTGGCAATTTCTGATCCCTCACTCAGGCTTTCTCCCTTTCAGTTTCTGATCCCCAAGTCCTCATGTCAAGGTCTTCCAGACACGAGGTATGTTCTTTTCATGCTATTTCCAGAAAACTTTGCATTTGTGGTAGATGGTGTTTGCTCTCTTTTCCCTTTTGTTATCCCCCCAACCCCCATTCTCCCTTGGCTTGATTCCTCCTGAAAAGCTCTGAATGGATTGTGGTAGAGAGCAGAGCCCAGAAGAGTCAGAGGATAAGAATAGGAGACTGAGGACGCTATTGATAACGTGGGCTCCTTCCCTTCGGAGACACAGGGAGGTTTCCTCCTTCAGAACCAGAATTTGTGTCTCAAGGATGGGGTGGGGTTCTTTCTGGGTGCTGTGTTGTTTTTTTGGGGGGGTGGGATGGTCATGGTTGCTCAATTTTTTTCTTTTGCCTGGGTTCCTTTTCCCTTGCAACAGATGAAATTGACGAGAATGTTCCTATTACATGTTGGTTTCTTTTGTGTCATGCAACATGTTCTTCGTCTGTGGTGTTCCTATGGTAACCACAAAAATACTATGCTAAATGGGGCCCTGGCATCAATCGGTGTGTGTATGTGTTTCTTTTGCAGTTTGTTGTTTTGTCTCTGAATGTGTGTATATGTATGTGTGTGTGTGTGTTACGTTTCTATTTGTGAGAGATCCTCCAGAGCTCTGGCTGCTACCCCTCCTCACTTTTCATTTTGGTTTTTCCCAGTCACAATGGGGCTGGGGGAGGGGGGTTGTCAAGGAAACAGGAATTTATGATTTACCTTCTTATTACTTAAAAAGAATTCTGTGGCCACAGTTCTGTAGCCCCACTAGTAATCAAAAATAAAACCCCCATATTTATGCAAGCACGTTTAATTCCTTTTGAGCGACTTGGATGTTTCTCGACATTTCCCATAAATACAGTAGTTTAAAGCAACGGGAAAGAACATTATTGATGAGAAGTGAGCTGCTTGTTGTGAAGGTTCGAAGTGGGTCTGTATGTGGCAATTTACTGCTTAAAAACATGTACGCTTCTAACCCAGACATCCACCTAGCCTGAGCCTCCATTACCTAAAACGTCTAAACATGTAAAAGATGAGGCGTTTTCATCATCCTCAGCTTATCACAACACCCAAGTTCAACAAGTGTGAGAGGATAACATAACAGCGTGCATGAAGTGACTGTCCCACACTAATCACAACTTTCCAATTTTACATCTGTACTGTTGAAGGTTCACTAAAATATAAGGCTTACTAATACAAGGCTGATGGATCCTCTCTTCCCAAACTGGGACGTGATGAACTCTGATGACCCAATACCCAACTGAATAAGTTATTTTTTTCCCTTGTGAGTTCAAAGGAGTAAAAGAATTGGGTAAAAGGGTCAGGGGAACGTAAATCTAAAACAACTGTAATGGTTCCTCTCAATATTCCTTTCATAGATAAGAAATTAATATTTTCACATGATGTAAATGAAAGGAAACTTTAATTCCTCAAGATTAATGAGCAAAGCTAAATATACTCATCTGAATGACCCATCTATCAAAAGGAGTTATTCTTAACAATGCTATCTTCTCTTGCACATAGTTAGAATCCAGGCTGCCTGTGAGGGATAATGATGTTGCATAACATAGGGTGGAGGGAGGAAAGAAAAGTTCTAGCAAGAAGGGAGGTAGCTGTAAGTTGTTTTGGACCAGTTCCTACCTGATTTAAACTACAACTGCTGTTTCCTAGCCCAGAGAATATAGTTTTAAGATATGCTCCTTTTGATTTGCATACTTGTTTGACCTTAATAGACTAGGGATCTGGAAGAACTATCTTCTCTAGTTTTGTCTCTGTCTTTTGGTAGAGTTTTGTAAAGGTCATTTAGTCCTTTGATTTTCCCATCTGTGAAGCAAAGGATAATATTTCATTGCCAATCTCTAAAATATATTGAAGTGTGGCAGTAGGAAGATGAGGTGGTTTTATTTTTAAAAGTTATGGTCTTTGAGATCTTTTTCTGCTATTAACTGCATTTTTTTTTCAGTTGTGCTTTGTCACAGAGCAGAAGTCTTTAGTATTTAGAACATGAAATACCTGAAATTGTAAATCGAGCTACTGAAATTCTAACTGGCACTAAATGGTAGTAAAGGTGGAGAGATTATTCAAAGGTTATGTGAACCTAGAAATATGTAACATTAACTACAGAATGGCATTTATCATGGAAAAGTACAGGTTAGTACATGTGGAGAAATAATTGTAATGCAGATGTTCAATATTAGCAACGATTCCTTGGAAAGCAGTAAGACCAATAGACTATACCTAAAGTTGATAATAGGCTACATGCAAGAATGCAAATCTACTATGAAGTTCTTCCAAGAAAAAAGCTAATAGTATTTTCACATTAAATCACAAACACATTGCCTTTCTACTGGCTGTGATGTGGTCACTCCTGGAACACAGTTTTCAGTCCCAGGTTCTTAACTACCGTAAACACCCACTGGACAGAGTTCAAGGAAGAGGAGAAACCAGAGTGATTAAAGGGATGAAAGTATTGCCAAAAATCACTATGTTCCACTTGGATACTGGATTAAGGTTAAAGGGTAGCAGCAGTTTTCCCTGTAATCCTAATGGGAAGGTCTCGGGAAGCCTCATCAGAATGCCATTAACCCAGAAACTGAGGCAAAGGACTCAGCAGGTGATGCTATCCAGGGGCACCTTAATTTTGACAATCTGCAATTATTCAGCATGTACTGTCTGCAGAACAGCCCTGAAAGTGCTAGGTTGTGAAAAAACAAGCTTAAAATATAATCGGCATGGGTGTAAATACAGATGCAGAAAAGTACAACTATACCAACAGGCACAGAATTAAGAAGAGAATGAGAAAGGTGAAAATGGATAATGGAAAACTAATGAATATTTCAGGCTCTCATGTGCTCGAAGGTAAAGGGATTGAACTAGAGGGTGTGCAGGGTTATTGTGAGGGGTGGTGATGAATATGGACTATGAAGAGAGCAACTGATAGCTTGGAACTTGTTTTAGTTCTAGTTTTATCCAGAAACACACATAACGATAAAAATTCACATGATATGAATTGTAAGTCACTTGGGAGCAGAGCCTCTGTTTGTATCCCTAGCACTTAGCAAAGGGCCTGGTACATAGTAGTCACTTAGTAATTATTAATTGGTGATAGAGTGATTTGTCATTTACAAGGCCCTTTCCTCACAGAAGTGACACAATGCAGTAGCATGAGCACATTCTCTGCAGTCAAAGTGTCTATGTTCAAATCCCATTTCTGATGTTTGTTGCCTTGTGACCTTAGACAAGTCTTTTCTTCTCGAAGACTACGATTTGTCTTTACTTGTAAAATGACGGTATTGGACTAGGACTCTGAGGCCCCTTCCAGCCCTAAATCTCTAATCCTTTAGTCATAGGGGATGGAGTTTTAATAGCCCTTTTTTACCAATGGGGGTGATGGTGGTGGTAGTGGTAGGAGAGGCAGCTAGGTGGCATAGTGAATAGAGAGCTAGGCTTGGAGTTACAAAGACCTGAGTTCAAATCCAGCCTCAGACACTTACTAGCTGTGTGATCCTGGGCAAGTCACTTAACCCTGTTTGCCTCAGTTTCCTCATCTGTAAAATGAGCTGGAGAAGGAAATGGCAGACCAGTCCAGTGTCTTTGACAAAAAAATCCCAAATGGGATCATGCAGAGCTGGATATAATTGAACATATTTTACCAGTAGAGGAAACGGAAGTTCAGGAAAGTTTAAAAGCTTTGTGCCCAGGGTCACACAGCTAGTTGATAAGCTAGGATCTAGATTCTGATTTTTTTTCTTTCTGATTCCAAGGTCAAACCTCTTCTTGTTGTATCTCAGTGCCACAACAGGGATGGTGGACATCTTTCCTGCGTTTCTTAGTATCATGGAGTTCCTTTTAAAGTATAGCTGCTTCTCAGCTTGACTTACACCTTAAAGAATCGATGTCACTCGGGACATCATGTCACACAGGATCATCACCTAGTGACCTTTGAACCTACACCAACTTTGTGATATAGAATTTATCAGTGAGCTGCATCCATGTGAGAGTAGGATAGAGAAACAGATGAGACAGAGATGAATCTGCCAAAGATATTGACCTATTTCACCCTTTGTACTTAATTCTCATATAATGAACTAACCATTGGGATAGTTTGTTTTCAAAATAATTCTTGATGTCTTTTGTATTTACATTACCTACATTTTCTAGTATATTCTCAAACTTCCTCTCAGAGAGCCATCAGTTATAACAAAGAATTAAAAAGAGAGAAGAAAAAGTTCAGGAAAACTATTGCCTGGGAAAAGTCTGAAATTATTAGCATTGTTCTGGACCCATAACTTCCCACCTCTGCAAAGAACAGTGAGGTTGAAGAAGGGAGGAAACATCTTCCTATATCTATGTCTTCTTTAGGAATAAGCTTGATTATAATTTTTTTTAAGACAGTTGGGGTTAAGTGACTTACCCAGGGTCACACAGCTAGTAAGTGTCAAATGTTTGGTCTGAGGCCGGATTTGAACTCAGGTTCTCCTGACTTCAGGGACAGTGCTCTATCCACCACGCCACCTAGCTGCCCCTTGATTATAATTTCTAGCTGGCACTAAATAGAAGTAAAGGAAGGGAGGACTATTCAAAGGTTATATAAACCTAGAAAAATGTGACATTAATAACAATGGCATTTATCTTGGAAAAGTGCAGGTTAGTACATTGTTTTGTTGTTCTGGTCGTTTGATGTTGTAGTCACTGTGCATAATATTTTCCTGGTTCTGCCTTGATTTATTTTCCTCTGATTCTATTAGTTCATTATTTTTTGAGCTGGGGGTTAAGTGAAAGTCAGAGGAGATTATAGAAATTGGCTATGTGAGAGGACTTGTCCTTTCCTACGACTTAGTTACTCCCCTTGTACTACCTCCTTCTCTCCCTCCTAGCTTTTAAGATCTACTTTAATCTTCAGGGGAAGATTGGATATTGTGGCTTCTGAAAAGGTAGTTGTGCCTCCAAGTCAAACCTTGGAGTGTGTGGGGACACCCATCCATCCATAGATGTGCATATTCACTTTCATT